CCTTATCATTCCTCGACGCTAACAACAACAACAGGCCGTCGGCGGTGGACTTTCTTCCCCCCCGCCGCCGCCGCCGCCGCCGCCTCTCCGTGCCGCTGCCCTATAAATAGAGCGTTACTTTGAAATGTAAGTGTGCCTCCTGAATTCGCCGCCCCTCTCGCTCCATCACATAAACACAGTCCAGATTAAACTCCCCCCCACTCTTTTCAGAGCTCGTCTCCGGCAGCGTGGAGGCCGTTTGATGTGGCTGGTTGATATGCAGCTCGCGATGTTTGCTTCGGTGGCCGAGTTCAGAGCGAATCGGCGTTTTTTTAACGGCCGCGTACCGTAAAGATCGGCGAAGGAAGCAGGAGATCAGGCTTCATCCTGCATCAGGCAGACGTCCACGCCGACGGTTTACCATCACTGGAATGAATCAAGTGTTATTTACTCGTCATTTAAACCTGCTGGAGCTGAACATGTAAAACCAGAACATCATGTCGACTAAAGGTCCTGAAAATGCAAAACAACAATCAGAGCTGTGGGAATATTTGCCAGTTTTGATGCTAAATTCATAGTTTCAGTCGTTTCATACCAAACTAAATGCTGAATTCCGTCGCTGCAGCTCCTCCACTGTGGATATTTGTTGGTTTTTGTTTGTTCTCTGCCTCATAAACTGAATCTCTTTCGGGTTTTTTGGACTCTTAAATGCACAAAACAAGAAGTTTGAAGGCGTCAGCTGAGACTTGTTTCCTAAAATCGTAAAAACGCAGAACATAAGCAAATTTAGTGGGTTTTTTTCTACAATAATGGTGAATTTTACTGTTGCATTGGTTCCATTCGTCCTTTGAAATGTATCAAATCTAGAAGTTTTGGGCTTTAAATCTTACAGAACAAGACATTTGAAGGCGACACCTTCAACTTTGGACTTTTATGGACTCAGTGACGGAAAAAACTGAAAAAAAAAATGCAAAAACAGGAAGTGGATAAAGATGTTTCTGTGGGTTCATTCCTGTAAAAACTTGTTTTTTTTTTAAGGCAGCACCAAGTTTAAATCAGTAAAAGTCGGATCTGAGGCTGTTTTAGAGGCTTAACTGAATGAAAACCTTAAACGTCTGAAATTAAAGCGTCTGTTCTGATGTTTATCTGAAAGCTGTCGCAGAGAAAATAAAATCGGGGGCGCTAATTACATACATACATTTTAAATCAACCCTGAAACGCTGAGAAGCTTCTGCTCGTCTCGGTTTGTTAGAGAACTCGTGAATGGATTCGGTAAACCTCCGATGCGATCAACATTCAAACCGTCCAGAGTCCTGCAGCTCGTCTTCACGTGACGAAGCTCAGAGCTGCTGCGTCCGACGACTTCCTGAACGTGTGATTCTGTAACGAGGATGTCGGACTGTTGAACGGAAACAGAAAGACGTGGAGGAGAGGAAGACAACGGACGTTCTCGCTAAATCTGAAGAGCAGTCGATGTCCGGAGTCAAACATCAACCGTCGACCCACAGAAGAAGCTGCTCACCAGACTGAATGCAAACCCAAAGCAAAGCGCTGGTCTAGAAACATCTGATCTGAGCGATCACATTCTGTCACGCTGAGTTTAAAGCTGGAGCTCAAACCTTCACACGTCAAGATCATTTATTATGTAACGGCTGAGAAAGAAAAAAAAAGAAGAAGATGTTTCAGATGTTTTGCTTTAAACCGTCTGAATCCCAGAAACCTGCCGAAGGGATTAAAGAGTGTTTCTAAAATAAAACGACACCATTTATCAGCCACAAGCTGTGAAAACACACAGAATCCTCAGATGGTCGGCTTCACCAGGAACTGGACAGATTCAGGATTAGAACCGAGATGTTCCATCAAAAAACACTTTTTTCTCCTGGTCGTATTCAAAAAAACG